TTTTTTTTTTATAAAAATTGCAAAAAGATTTTTACTCATGGGACTATGATTTATATAAGAATATAAATATAAATTTTAAAATGTAATTTTTAAAGTATAGAAACAATTTTTAACGAAAAAGACCTATTTATTACGAGACATATCTTCTACTATTCATTGTCTTTTTACCAATTTCTTTTCTGTCTGTAATGCTCTCCTAATGGTTTTTTCATTACAGTTAATAGCTTTAGCTGCTTCTAAAATAGTAGTATATTGACCGTAAATAATTCTATCTAAGTTGTACAACACAACAGGTCTTGTGTTAACTATACACTTTTTCTTAGTTTCATCTGACATAGGAGGTTTAAGTAAAGCTTTTTCTCTAATTCTTTCTATTGTTTCATGAGACAAATTTTTACCTTTATTTAATTTACCTATTTGTTCCCGTCTCGCATCACTATAAATATCTTTCATCTTTTGACGATCAATTTCAGTGTGTTTATATCCGAAACTAGAACCTGCTTCTGTTAAAATATTGTAATTAGGTACTAATAATTTTAAGTATTTATCTTCTAAACGCAACAATTCATGGTTATTTTCTTTGGTAACAATATTAGGATATAAATCTAATACAACAAAAGCAAAATTTTTCAAATCATACTTTTTAATGGCTAATTTAACTATTTTGCTACCCCTAAAATAAATAACATGGTTGCAGAATCTAGCATAAAATCTACCAGTTGAGGCAGAACCTATATAATAATCTTTAGTTGTTTTATTAATTATCATATATACACCACTTAAACCTCTTGTATCATTTAATATTTGTTTTCTAGTTTCTTCTAAATTTAAATTTTCATAGCAATACACAAGGTTTAAACCTAACTCATTAATAATTGTTTCTAGTCTTTCAGACATTATAGTACTATTTGAAGAACTACTTGTAGAATATCCTCTTTTTACTATACTTTTGTTAAATAGTCTTTTACTATTTACTTTAAAATTCATTACATTCTTTTTATTAAAATTTACATTTTCTTTATTACTTATATCAAACCATTTTGGGCTATGTTGGTAACCCAGGAAAGCTGTCTAAATTTCCGCTAACTATCCTTTTATTTTATCTGAATAGCGCGCCTGTACTTTATCAAAATATTAGTCCCCGAGACACGCTAAATCTCTTTATAATATTTCTCATTTAAAGCCTTGTGTATAACAAATTTGTTATAGAAATTTCCGACTGTACATTAGATATCATTTCAGATACCCACAGGTGACCCAGTCTGTAGCGATCCTGTATAGAACCGACGGTCTTAACTTAGATATCAAGTCTTTAACCGTATTCACCCGCATTGCCAGATAACTAGTAGTTATCCTATACCCCTGTCAGGGTATACTATCTCACAGTAATATTTTATTACTAGTATATTTCTATATACATATTGCATATACTTTTATTAGAGACGGACTTTGATTTTTAATTTCATATTAAATGTATCCAATAAATTTATATTTCATCTCATCTATTATATAAGGTTTAACTATTGCAACTAAATCAGTCATGCTTTCTTTTCAAATACTTATTTTTCATTGATCTGGATACCCTGTTTTTACAACAGTACATTTAAGATTATATTTATCTTTTAATATATCACATAAAAAAGTACATTCTTTAAAAGTAAAACTATTAGTTGCAATGTTTATACCTTGTTTTGCTTGTCTAGAACCATCTTGCATGATTCAATGAGCTAAACCTATAGGAGTTATGTATTCTCCTATTCAGTTAGGTATAATTTTTGTTTTTTTT